CCTCTGTTTGTTTTTAAAATTTATTCTTTGGTTTTAGAGAACACAAACTCATTTAGATCAGGTCGGGAGTTTTATTTTTCTGTATCACTGGGACCTTTTCAGGTCCAAAAGTCTCATAATAATCCTTAAGGGCATCACCAACCCTTTTTTATCACCTCTGATCAATAGTTCCTTTAATAGGGAACCATGGGCAAACTTGTTTAATATATTTAAAATATTGACACTGATCCTTAATTTTAACCTTTACTCCTCACGCCTTTAATGTTTTACTCAAACTTTTTATAAATATCTCATGTTCACTTAATGCCTGTCCCATTGCCGAAGGGAAGGGGAAAAGGGGTGTCATCCGCTTACCGAGGTTTAGACATCGCAGCAGGCAACTGTGGCGCAGGCCTTTTTTTTTTTTTGCCTCTTTTTTCTTTGCCAGCTTTCTCTTGCCAGCTCTCTCGGACGGTTCTGTCGCTGAACCCTCTGCCAGGTGCCCCACGTTGGGCGCCACTTGTCCCAAACCAGCGGGTCAGTCAGCAAAGGTCACCTGGGGGAGGAGCAGGGCATTAAAGAGGGAACAAAGGACAGGAGACGCGAAGAATGGAGACAAGACAGGATTCTGATCAAGTCTCGCTTTATTTAGGGGAGTGCTGGGTATATATAGTGAAGGCATAGGGAAATGACGTCAGCGGGTAAAAGGCGCAAGTAACTAGACAACCCGGCTATGATAGGAAGTCCCACCTCCTGGGCACAGCAGGAGACTTATGGGAAATAGGCAGGGTAAGAACTAGGAACCTCGCTCATCAGAGGTAGGGGAGGAGGAACCTGGAAACCCACTTGCAATAGGTTTGGAGGCCTGGAGGTATTGTGCCTCCCACAGTATCCCTTATCTGAAATGCCTGGAACCAGAAGTACTTTGGATCCTTAATATTCATATCCGCATAATGGGGATGGGGCCCAAATGTAAACACAACATTCATTTTTGTTTCATGCCCACCTAAAATAATTGTTTGCAGTATTTTACTGCACCTGCATTTTGACTATGACCTTGTCACAAAGTCAGGTATGGAATTTTCCACTTGTAGCCACAAGTCAATGCTTGGAAAGCTGCAGGTTTTGGCCAGGTGTGGCAGAAGGATGGTAAGTGTGAGACCAGCCTGGGCAACTGGATTCTTAAATATTCACATAAGCATCCTCATCCTTTTGCAAATTTTCTTGTGAGAGAGAAAAAACTTTGTTGCAAAACTTTGTTTAAAAGAAAAGGACTAGAGGGGCTGGGGAGATGAGTCAGTAGAATAAGTGCTTCCCTGGCAAGTGCAAGGGCCTAAATTCAATTCCTCGTTCCGCCAAAAAAAAAAAAAAGAAAGAAAGAAAGAAAGAAAGAAAGAAAGAGAAAAGAACTGGAGATTTAGATGAGTGGTAAAATGCTTCCCTACCATATGCAAAGCCCTAGGTTTAATCCTCTCACCCACCCTCGAACAGTTGGAGATTTTGAAGCATTTCAGACTTTCAGATTGGAACACTCAGCACGCACCAGCCTCCTACTTGACAGGAGGAACTGCACAGCCTACTACTTGTCACTCTCTGACACTACACAGCTACACTTCAGAAGCCTCAAGAATGAGCCGTCCTTCTGGCTCATGCGCAAAGAAGTAACCCTGGGAGTGCACAAAAATGTAGCTGCAGAGACACTGTGGCCAAGAATTCATAAAGCAAACACTTACAAGCAGCCCTCAGGTCCAGACACTGCGGACTGGTTAAATCACGGGGTCTCTAGAGCTAGAGACGTGTGTGGCTATTCCAGTGAACATGCAGGGAAGCAGTCGGGTCTATAACCTATTGTGTTTAAAAAAATAAAAAAGGCAGGCACGTGTTTGCAACCTCTGCTGCTCAAAGGCTGAGCGGCAGAGGGTCCCATGCTCAAGACCAGCCCCGGCAACTTAGAAAAGACTCTCACAAGAGAATTTGCAAAAGGATGAGGATGCGGCCCATCACTGGAGCGTGTGCCCAGCAGGCACAAGGCTTGGAGATCAATGCCCAGGACTCCAAAACTGGAAAACAGCATATGATGAGTCCCTATTGTAAAACTATAGCGTATTAAAATATACATTGGCAGTGGTTATTCCTGTGATGGGATTTCAATCCATTTTTATTTTCTCTATATTTTATTACATGAATTTTCAAAAGTACTTACCAGGAACATCTACTTCTTTAGAAAATAAAGGGCAAAAAAAAAAAAAAAAAAAAGTAAGGGAATGTTTTTGCACTTTAGCATTTATTATGTTCTGATTTCAGTTTTAAGAAAACAAACATACTGCTCTACTAAGAACATTTTAAAAATACTTTTACTTATTACAAAAACAATATAAGTGCTTGCCAGAAACAAAAAGTCAGGAAGTACAGACAAGCAAAAAGAAGTAACACACATTCCCTCCTCCCCAGAGGCAGCCAGTGTTCCCTCCTTTGTGACTTTTTATAAAGTGGAGGGAGGTTTGTTTGCTGTCATGCCTGTGTGGTGCTGGTAATGAAACCCAAGGCCTCACAAATGGCAGGTAAGTGACCTACCACTAAACTACACACTAAGCTGTGGTTGGTTGGTTGTTTTAAGATAGTTCCACTCTGGGGGCTGCTCCTTCAGCACACTCCATTGCCATTACTGGAAACAAGAGTTCAGCGGGAAGCTTACGGATACTTCTGTGATACCCAAACAGTTCTGAAGATGGGTTTGTCAGGGCCTCAGCCTATTTGGGATCCCCAAATAACAACTTACTAGTGATAGGGGCCCTGGTCCTGGAATGTCTGGAAACACAAAATTCCTGTGTCACAAGGGACAAGAGCTGTCAAGTAGGAAGACCTTAAGTGTGATTCCCAACACGTCTGGGATTGCAACACCCCATCTTGTTTGATTTTTGAAACCATACCTCCCCTTCAAAAAGTACTCAAAGAAATGGTTCCACACTTTGAGATTAATGTGGCTTGCATAATCCTCCTTTCCGCTATCCTGGGGATAACTGCTGCCAATTAGTCTGAGGTAAGGAACAGCCGCCTGGAGGAGCTGTATGGGCCGACTCCACCCATGCCAGGCCTGGGAGTGCACCTGCAAGGGCACGACACCCTGAATGGTTTCCATGCCCCCCCATACACATGCATCAACAACAGGTTTCCAAGACCCACCCAGCACACACCCTCTCCTGCTAAAACCCCTCCCCTGGCATCCAGCCCCATGGGTCCACACCCTCAGCAAAGCCCTAGAGCAGCAACTGCTCCGAGAGCTGCCACATAGTCAAATGATTCCTGGTTGCTTCAGATACTGTGATAGCTACACACAGCCCAGGCCCAGGGCCCACCTCTCCCTGCAGCTCTGCGCAGCTCGCTGCATCGCTCGCTATCCAGTAAGTTCAGTCTCTCTCAAGATTTGGAAACTCTTAGTCTCTTTTCTATGGGGCTCTTATCATCAATAATAATAACTGCAGCTTCTGTTTATTGTGCTCCTTATAAGCCAGGCATTTTACAAATATGAAACATCCACAAGAGTCCATAGAGACAGACAAAAGTCCCAACTTCACAGATGAGAAAAGAAGGCTCCAGGAAAGCCACAGGACTTTCAACCCAGATCTTTGTACACTACAGCTTACGCTGCACCCTTAATGGATGGCCCAGAAGGAACCTAGGAATTGTCATTTTCTAACATTTTCCATTCATGAGACAGCTAAGCTGAAAAAACCATTTACAAACAAGTATGTAGTACTGTGTACCAGGCACTGTTCTAGCTCCTTACAAATAACAATTCAGTTCAATCTTATAATGCTATGAGATGGGGACTTATTTGTACAGAGAAAAAACTGAGGCACAGAGAAGAGAAAAAAACCTGCCCAAGGCCCCACAGGAAGTAATGGCGTCTGAGAGTGAAGCTGACTCTTGGGTCTGTCCTCTCCAGCCGGGGGGAGGAGGACCCTCTCCCTCAGCCTGCACCCTCCCCCTCAGGCTCCTGAGAGTCCGCTTCCAGCTTCAGACTTCCTCATCCCACTCTGGGTGGTGTTGGTGTTCTCTTGTGAAACTGCTCTGTGCAACAATTTATTGTGCAAGGCCACGTTTTGATTTGACCACTATCTAGATTTCCCCAAGAACGAAGAGTTCTAGAAGCTTTATCTAAGCAAAAGCTTTGGGTTGTTTCTGTGGAAATTAGTCAACTAACAAGGATGTATTGAAAGCCATTTTTGTCCCCAGCCTTGTGCTAGGCACCTGGGGTTTAGGACCACAAAAAGCACCCAAGACCTTGCCCTCACTCTTCAGGAAACAACAGCAAAAACAGGCAGCATATCTTGGCACCCTGCGTGCTGGCTCTTCATCGTACTTCAGATCTACCACACAGTCTGATTGTGTCTTTCGAAGAAGGTATGATGTGAAATGGGATTGGAAAGATGTGGTAGGTTTTGATATAAAGCAACCAGGGCAAGAGAAACTAACCAGAGAGGAAAAGAATTAGAATGGTTTATGTGTTTTATTTTGGTTTGCTTTTTGCTCTTGCCATCAGAGTGTGCAAGAAAAATCTCTTCCCAAGCCCAGAGCGCAGGAGGATGCTTCTGGAACGGAGAAGGGCGACATACAAGCAATAACCAGCAGGGGGCAGAGCTGCTGTTGTCCAAGTAACAGCAGAGTGGAGGGTGGCGGCCAGCAGGTCTGGCTAGAGGATGGCTGGCGGGCACTTGGTGTGAGCTGCCCTGATCGCTGGCTGGGGTGTCAGAGAAGAAGAGACTGAGAGTGAGCTGGGTGAGGCTGAAAAGGAAAAGGGGCACAGGAAGGAAGCGTCTCCCCACACGCCATGCACAGCCCTTCCAAACTGCAGGCCGAGCTTGGGTGTCCAGGGGCCAGTGCTCAGCCTCTCCAGGCAGTCGTGGCTGAGACCTGACCTGAGTAACTGTGAGCAGTGACCAACGGCTGGTTTAAGGCTGATTTCAGAACAACAGACTCCAGTTTGGTTGTCTATAGACCAAAACAGCCTGTCTGGCCTCAGCCAGGAAAGCACTAGTGGCTCTGGGGAGGACCACCTCTTAGCCACCACCAGGCCCCGGTGCCATGCTGTGCAGCATGCAGCGGTACACACGTGAGTGGCATCTGTCAGGTGCCTGAGGTCACTGTATAGCTTAACAGTACACACGACCGGCTGGCCTAGGCCAAAAGGTTGGGAAGTCACAGGAGCACAGGCAGTTAGAAGCCCCTAAGAAGGGACAAAATTTGAGACCAGTAATCTGATCTGACTTTTAGCTGTTGGAGGCTAGCTACATACATTTGAATGGGTGAACCAATTTCTCTGTGCCTTAGTTTCCCCATTTGTGAGATGCCCGGGTTAGATAATTACCTTTGATGTACGTTACAGCTCTGAACTTCTGCAAGAGGCCCATTCCCCGGGCCAGAGGACATGTGGAACCTGGGAGTGCGGGAGGGGGTGAAAGGAGCCCCGCAGAATCTGCCTTGCGCACATCCTCCCCTGTAAGCAGCCGCCCAGCAGAGGCCACTGCGGCACTGCCCAGCCGCCCCGCCCGCGTGGCCCAGCGGAACACACCCACGGCTGCTCAGAGATTTCTGGAATCTCACTGGATCCCTCCCAGGAATGTTTATTGCTCCTTACATCAGCAGATGGCTTTGCATCAGCAACCCTGCCGCAGGTCACTCTCCGTGGAGAGGAATTGCAGGGTTCTGGCTTTAGAGTGTGAAATCTGCCTGGATCCATTCAGTATACAGTTAACTAAAGTTAATGCCCAGGAAGCAGAGACACAAATCCAGGCCCTGCAGAGGTCACAGAACTTCACCTTGCACACAGTCACGGGAGGGGGCAGGTAGAGGAGCCGGGAACCCTCCACTCCCAGCCCGGGCCACGGGCCATGAGCATCACCAGGCCTCGAACAGGGAAACAGCCTTCTAAAGTCATTTATCCTCCCGCGGACAGCAGTGACCCCACAGCCCCAGTCTCCTTAGCTTTCCACTGCATCACGGCGAGAATTTTAAATGCAAACCTATAAAACATAAAATAGGCGAGGGATGGTTGTTCCCGTGATTTCCGGGCACAGAAAGAGAAAATCGTGATCCCGTATCACCCACCCAGAGAACGACACAGCCCCGAGTCTGGGCCGCAGCCTCAACAGGCCGGGACCTAGAAGGGCGCCCCCGGAGCCCCCGCCGAGCGGCTGGGGGGCGGCCTCGCCGGCTCCGCAGGGGGCTGGGGGCGGCGCGCGCGGGGTGGGGGGACTCGCTCCCCTCCCCGCCCGCGGCGCCGCGGCTGCGCCAAATATGGGCAGAGCGGAAGCGGCGGGCAGACGTCACGGCGCCGGGCGGGGGCGCGCTGCGGGCCGCTGACGGGAGGCGCTGACGGCGGCTACGTGTCACCGTGGAAACCAAACAGTAAATAGAGGACTCGGGAGCTCCTGGCACCGACCGCCCCGGCGACCTGCCCTGGAGCAAAGGACCGGAAGCCGGGAAGGGCTGGGAGAAACCTTGGGCTGGCTGGAGCCGGAGGGGGCGGGAAAGGTTGCGGAGAGAGTGGAGGTGGGGATGCTGCGAGTACACCCCAAACGTCCCTTTTGGGCGCCCCCTCTGCGAAGAAGTAGCAAGGACCGGCCAGGAATGGCAGGGAGCCAGCCAGGCCCCCGGAGGGCCTCCGTCCTTCGCCCTGCAAAGGTGTTGGGGATATCGGTTTTTCCTTAACAGAGCTAAAAATAAAGGGTTTGGAGACACACTTCCCGGAGTTCTAGATTTCAGAGTTGCCACTCCAGTTGGATGATCTGGAATAAATCACAGGCATTCTGCACCTCCAGATTGTGTCACTATAAAATAAAAATAGTAGCAGGACCTACCTAAAGAATATTAGAGACCGAAAGAGTAATATTGAGAGTGGCACACACCTGTAATCCCAGCACTCGGAAGGCTGAGGCAGGAGGATCCCCATGAGTTGGAGGCCAGCCTGGGCTGCAAAGTGAGTCCAAGGACAGCCTGAACTGCTGAACAAAACCTTGTCTTAAAAAGACTATAATATAGGAGAAGCGGGAAAGGGCCCAAGGTTTGAAGGATGGCGGACGCGTGGACCAGCATCAAACCGCCCACACCGTAGAGGGGCCGGGACCTCTCGGACTCGGCCTGGTTGGGCGGACCTGTGTGAGAGCGAGGGACGCCGAGGGCTTGGAGGCACATCACGCGCTTACGACCAGCATTTCAACATGATGCTGGGAGATGCGAAGAAGCTGTGGCCGCTACAGAAACTGACGAAGAGACGTAGGAGGAGATGTGCAAACCAGCGAAGCAAATACCGCAGTGCTGTTTGTCCCGGGCGACGGCGTTGTGCCGGCTGCCCCTCCACTAAGAGCTGCCGGAATGGACGCTCTGTCGTGTGTGGCAGCTTTGGGCTGTTTAACTGCACCAGACGTTCGGGGGACACGGCTGCACGCTGATCCCTGGGGATTTATTCACCAATGAAATGAGCTGATTTGCAAAAACCTTGTAACACTTTAAGTGAAGTAGCATATTGTTTTTCTTTTAGCTTTCTACTACACATGTTCACCAAAGTGCTGAACGTTTTCAGGAGTTGGTTTGCTCTGTCATTCTTTTTTTTCCCCCCCATAATTTTATTGAGAATACTCTGTCATTCTTGCTAACAGTGTCTAGTGGTTTTTTCTTTAAGTTAAAGTTGATGTTTCCCTTTTAACACACACACACACACACACACAAAGGAGATATATATATCTATATATATCAATATAGATATATATATATATATATATATATATATATAAACTTAAAGGGAAAACTAAGTATTTACAGCTGTGTGCTGCCGCACACAGTCCTGTTCATTTTCATTCTTCAGCAGCAGGAGAAAAGCTTACCTTGTATTAGTAGTCAACTACTAAGCTATAGTACTGTTGTAATGTTTTGCTTTCTCAATTCGTCCTTTAGATGTTTTGTTTTCTTTTTGAAATGGGGCCTCACTGCATAGTTCTGGCCAGCTTTGAACTCATTATGTAATCGAGGCTGAATTGAGAAGGATCCTCCTGCCTCGGAGTCCACAGTGCTGGGATTAGGGATGTGTGGCATCACACCCAGGGCTGGCTTGGTTTTGTCTGTTTGAGACAGGGTCTCACTATGCAGCTCAGGCTGGTCTTGAGCTCACTCTGTAGCCCAGGCTGGTCTCCAATTCTCAATGATCCTCCTGCCACTGCCTCCTGAGTGCTGGGATTACAGACCTGTGCCACCACATCATAGCCAGTTTTGGTGTTTTGTTTTTTTTTAGCATAATGATAACATCATAACCAGTTTTGGTGTTTTGTTTTTTTTTAGCATAATGATAACATTCATGGGAATTTGTACAGTCCATGATATACCTTGCTTCTTTTCTCCCGCCTTTCCCCTCCCTGCAGCCACTTTCCCTTCTTATTTACAAATGGAACCAACCCTTTTTGTTGTTGTTTTGAGACAGGGTCTGGCTATGTAGTTCACACTGACCTTCAACTCAGTGATCCTCCTGCCTCAGCCTACCAGTGGTACTATTATGGGCATGGGCCATCATACTTGGCCTATCCTTTAGAATTTTCTGGGGGAAAGGAATTGAACCCAGAGCCTTGTGCATGCTAAGCAGGCAGTCTACCACTGAGCTTTCTCCCCAGACCCCTGCCCTTTAGTTTTAAAATGAACAATTTTGCGCAGAGTAGGGTTGTACACCTTGTAATCCCAGTACTGGGAGGTCGAGGCAGATGATTGTACTGAGTTCAAGGACACCTTGGACTACATATCAAGGCCTTAGATCAATAATAATAATAATAATAATAATATAAACAATTTTAAAGAAATTTTTCATTTTAAAGATACTTAAGTTTAGAAAAGTCTCATATATTATAAGTAAAAAGTGCATTTGCCAAATAACATGACAAAACATTACGCTACTTTCCAGTTTAAAAAATTTTAAATACACTCCAAGTGAACAAATAAAATAATGGAACTGTCCAAGGAGTGAAGTGCTGCTTCTTTGTCCCCACGGGCGCTAAGTCGCCGGCTCAGTTCGCGGCAGAGCTGCTTGACCGGAGCTGTGTGCCCTCCGCTCCCGCAGGGTCTGGCTGCAGGGCCGGTACGTGCAGAACAGTCTTGGAGTCGTCTTCATGTGAAGGCTCACGGCCAATCTACATATCACAAAACAACTATCAGAGTAATGAGTTCGCTTTTTTTTTTTTTTAATTTATTTGTGTGTGTGTGTGTGTGTGTGTGTGTGTGTGTGTGTGTGGCCAGCTCAGCCCACCAGGGGG